TATGCGGAAAATAATGCGTTTTTTTAACTTTAAACCGCATAAACACATTTCATTACACCAAATACACAAAATAATGTTCTTTTTAGCAGCATCATATGACCCCTTTAAGATAAGGCACTAATAATGCACCTTAAGTGATGTGCATAAAATAATCCAACAATTATCACATAAGAGAATCTAATGAATTTAATGTCATCGTGCATGTGGAGCTTTGTGTTCATAAGTTCATAATGTTTATGTATGACTGTAATCATTGTAGGGTCATTGTAGGTAACTGAAACAAAAAACTAAAACCATTAAAAAAATAAATAAAAATAAAAATATGTTGCCTGAAGAAAAAAAAACATGAAATAAAATATTTTGTAAAAACAATAACATTTTATTTCAGCTAGTTGCCAAGGCTACAAAAAAATAATAAAAACACACACACAAACAAACAAACAAAGAAACAACAACAACAAAAAAATACTAAAATCTTAACTAAAATTAAAATGAAAACAGAAAACATAAAAATAAAAAATAAATTGAAAACTGAAAATATTAATAAAAACTATAATATCCCAGATAACAGTGATTATAGTTTACTAAAAATAAAAATAGAAAAAAATGACTAAAATTACAATGGAAATGAAAAACATAAAAATAAAAACGAATTGAAAATATAAAACCTATAATAGTATCTCAGTGACACTAAAATAACACTGATGATAGTTTACTAAAAATAAAACCATACAAAATGTGTTACTTTAAATAAAATAAATGTTAACTGATATAAAAATAAAGAAATAGTAAAACTAAAATAAAAAACAATAATAGCTACATAGATATGTATTTAAAAAACACAACAAAATTACTAATATTTTAACTTAAATTAAAATGAAAATTGGAAACACTAAAAATATTAATAAGAACTATAATAGCTATATAATATAATAATAATATAATCTCAGTGATACTAAAAAAAACAATGAATGTATAAAAATAAAACCTCAAAAACTATTTTGTTACAAGAAAATAAATTAGTTAATTGAAGTAAAATGAAATAAAAATACTAAAACAAATAAAAAACTATATAGATATGTTTAAAAAATAATACTAATAACAATGACAAAAACACAACCAAATTATTAAAACTTTTCATTAAAATTAAAATAAAAACAGATAATACAAAATAAAAACTAATTAAAAATATTAAAATAACAATGACACAATAATAATAATAATAATAATATCAAGTATCTCAATAACATCAAAGTGTCTCAATGATAGTGAAATAAGACTGGTGTTTATGTTGTGCTTGTCATGTTTATCTGTGTTGAGTGTGTATGTAGCAGGTGTAATGATGTGGCTGGTGTGTAGTGTGTATGTAGCAAGTGTAATGTTGTGGCTGGTGTGTAGTGTATATGTAGCAGGTGTAATGTTGTTGCTGGTGTGGAGTGT